ATGTATGTATGTATGTATGTAACTATATCTATATCCATTCTGTCACAATAGTCTTTTTCTGAATCTCAAGAAGGAAATAGACCTTCTGCTGTTGTTCACCCCCAGCTTCATGAGCAGGGGCATTTGTGGGTTGGGGAGGGGTGTGTGAAGATGGCCTCTTCCTTTTTAAATGCATGTTGTGTGGTTGACTGGTTCATGTGTTCGGAGGTGTGTTGCTTCTGAGGGTGAGGAGAAGGTGTTCTTTTGCTACCGTGTTCCAAACCTGGACTCATGACCAGGAGGAGCAACACAGCCCCACTGGTGGACTTTAATGCTGATTAAACATTCTGGCAAACTTTGAAACATGAACATGACCGTGAGCAGCTGTGTGGACAAAGTCCTTATTTACAAACGACTTTTGACAAATGACAAAGATTTCGAGATCAGCTAAGTGATTCACAGTTCTTTGCTTTTCCTAAGTTGGAGCTTTGAGGCTTAATGCTGCTTTTTGGTCTTACAGAAGGAGAAGATACAGGAGAAAGTGACTTAACCGAGGATGTGCAGGATATCAGAGGAACGTCTTAGGGGCCTATGAAGACTAATTGTAGCTTTCCAACTTGCTAATCACACTTCTCAACTGATCGCAAGGTATTTCTCCCCCGCTTTTTTTCCAGTGATAACCCCATTCACTTCTCTAGCCTTCATACCATTCTTTAATTAATCGTTTATTTTTCTGCCACCCTTCAACCTACTTGTTCACACAAAACCATGGTTTGTTGTCTCTCGTTTCTCTTGTGTTCTAGACCCAAATCTTCCTGTATTTGGACAGCTTCTATCTGATACTTCAGAAATGACTCCCAGCATGCTTGAAATGCATTTGGGTTTTGGGAAAGGCCATGCAGAGGTGTGGCTGAGGAGAGAGACTCTGTGAAACAAGAAAGATGGTGGGACGGTGAGGCATATGAGCCTTTCCTTGGACTCAGCTTTGCAGGTTGAATACTACTCAGTGATTTTGAGAAGCGAGCTGACAGAGTACCACCAGAGCAGTTTCACACAGGCTACAGTTTCAGTGACCAAACACAGCAAAAGTGTGCATAGATACCAGATAAGGTAGGCTAAACCCAACCCAACCCAACCCAACCCAACCCAACCCAACCCAACCATTATTTGATTGTTTGGAGAATATGTTAGAAGGTCTGGCTCTTTTCCTCCATGCCTATCTACCCTCTCCAGAAAAGCCTTCCTTTCCCTGCTGCCACGATTTTTACAAAAGCCCCGTGTTTTTTGGGGGGATCTTAGGGACTGAATGTCATTGGTTCTTTCTCCTCCACAAACTTCATGAGTTGGTTTGCTCCAGCTTCGTTGCTATGACTGATTTTTATTGCATGACTTTACATGCCATTAGCCACTTCAGGCTGAGCATGTGGGATCAAAAAATGTAAGGGAAGATATTATTATGATGATTTATAACAACAGCAACCAGGATGGAGAAACATGTGTTGGCCAATCCATCCTAGGGCATTTTCAGAGCTCATTTGTTTCTTGAGTTCTGAGGAAAGAGGAACCACCAGCTCCCTCCAGTGGGCAAGTTGAAGCTTGAAAGGCACTCTGGGTTTTGCTGAAGTTGGCTCTGCAGAAGAGACTTTGCAGGTTTTCAACTTAGCTGGAATCCAAAGGCCTTGGAAAGACATAAAGGAAGATTAGGTCATGGATCCCCCGATAAACCAGCTCAAAGACTCATCGTCACCTCCAGCAGCATCCCTGATGTTTACAGTACTAATCAGAGATCACTGCCACAATCTCTTTCAGGGAGAAGACTGGCAACAGATTTCTTTTCATCCCTCTTTTTCAAACTGAAGGTGATATTACAAATGAAATACAAATGAATGGTGCCTGTGCTGCCAAAACCCATTTTTCTGTTTCCATCAGTGACTGTTCAGATTGCTTCCTCTTGAATGGCTGTGGCTGCAGCCATTGCAACAGTGCCAGGGAGGCTGGCAACTTCAGGAAATAGATCTCCCAGGCTGCCCTTAGCACTGGGGACCTGATGAAATTAACCTCGCTCGTGCCTTATTGCAGCCTTATGAAGGAGAAATAGCATCGTTATCCCTATGGAAGTTGAGACAGCGGTTTGCCAAGGCTGAGCTAGTGAGTTTACGACATAGGGATAATAAGAATGTCTATTTCAGGAGACAGGCTTTAGCCGTTGCTGTGTATTCTTGCAGGGCTACCCGGGGGTGCTGGAAACTTGGGGCAGTGATATCCAGGGGTGGGGGTTGAAAACAGTCAGATACGATCCGAGCCCTGCTCCCTTTCTACATGCGTTGATGTTGCATGCATGCACAAAGGGGCGGGGCTTCAATCATGCAGCCAGGAGTCCCATCCTGACTTTTTTGATCCTGCTCCACCCCTGTTGCTGACTGTAGAGGTGCTGGGAATCCCAGGAGCGACATTTTTCCTGGCTCCGTTCATCATCACACAATTTCTGGACTCTATTCCCTTCCTCTTTAATAGGATTGGATCGGCCTAAACCCCAGAAAATACACAACCTGGGTAGAATGGAACTGACTTAGGCTAAACATTTAACACCCATCGCTCTTTCTAATATACCGTTTGCTGCCTTGTGGAAGTTCAGAGAATATGAAAAATCAGCTAGGAAACATGCATACATTTTCTTGTGGCTTCTACTGCAGTCGATTCACCTCCACAACAAACTCCCTTAGTGGATTGTAGCCTGATGTAGCATTAGATTTTCTGGGATTTTTGCGGGGTGGGTGGGTGGTGGAGTACATTTTCTACACCAAGCAGAGCAAAGACGGAGACAAGTCCCCAGGGAGAAGGGTACCCCATGATTAAAGTGTTTCCTTGTTCTCCTGCTGATTGGCAACAGCTCTTTCCAAACAATCTAATTAGGTGAGAAGCTAAACTATAGCTTGTACCTTGACACAGTGGATACGGGAGATACATTCCAGATCATTGGCATGGATGGTGAATGTCGTATGCAATTAGCAATCTTCATGGCATTCAATGGGCGGTTTCAGCTTAGATTCAAAGCAGAGATCCAGGCTCTTTAGGTTACAGCTGGATACAACTGATTTTTCCAAATTCTCCGCTTAATTTGTGGGCAGAGGATTGGGGCGGCCAACTTCTCCAAGGGAAGGAGAAATTCTCCAATTGTTCTCAAGGGCAGGACTTCCCTTAGCAGCAACGAGAGCAGCTGCTAAGAACGCCCTGAGGGAGGAGACCCCAATGTGGTCTTTTCTTTGGGCAGAATGGCAGCCTGGAGGTCACAGATGGCCAGAGAGGAGTTGATGAAATGAAACGCTGGACGTCATTCATACAACCCCCTTGGCTTCTCTGTTGCTAATTCAGTGCAAAGAGAACCACACTCCACCTGTAGAATCGTTGCACCTGCCCAAAGTCGTCCCACAACTGTTGGAAGCTCACACAGAAGCCTTTTCAAATGTTCTGCCACTGTATTTTTCTCTGTTTTCAGCAAATGGGATATGATGTGGGCAAGTGAAAGACAGAAGAATGCAGTGGACAACTTGCTTTTTCCCTACTGATTGCCTTTACAGGCTTTGGGGAGGCTGCATGCCAACCTTGACAGGGGGGATGTTATGTGGGCTCCCTTCTGCGTACATAACATTAAAATAAAATTAAATAAAATAAAATAACCCTCCCTGCCTTCTGTTTCCCTACCACTTCTCATCAATCCGATGAAAGCTTTTGCTTCTGACACGTCTTTCAAAGGAAAAGAGCATTTGGGTGAAATTCCCATTGAGGAAGTAGAGCATCCTTGCATTTCCTTAGTAACGAGATGCTCCAGGGCTGTGTGGGAATCTCCTGCCTTTCACCGGGCAATTTCCTCTCCAATGGTTTGCAGTTTCTTTGCTCTCCACACTTTCCTTCAGTCCCACAGGGACGAAATTGGGAGAAACTCCTCACACTGGTCTTTTTTTCAGATTGGGAAGTGGAAACAGCCAGGGGGTGTATACTTAGAAGGCCAAGCTACCAGCTGTTGTACCCTCTGTGACCTCCAGCTAAGACGGTTGAGAAACATTACCGAGAGGAATATGGAAGAAATTCCCAAGTACCCAGGAAAATAGTAGATGCCTGTTTCTCGGGGAGGAAAACTCCTGGGGCATACATGGGGGAGCCCTCGAAAAGTGGCTGAGTGGTCATCTTTGGACTTCACAGAATCACAGGGATGGAAAGGTGGATCAGCGCTGGGGTGGGGAGCGGGAGGTGCTGTGTTGTGTTGGGGCCAGCAGGTGTTGATAGGGGAGGAGAGTTCCGCCCCACGGCCCCTGCTTTGTGGGGCTCCGCAGCCCTCGAGTCTCTCTCGTCTCCTGTTTAGCATCTACATGAAGTTGCTGGATGAGGCCACCCCATGGCCTGGTGAGCTAGCTCAGTGCACCGATGATGCCCGGCTTTACCTCTCCACCCCGGCCGCCCAGATGGAGGTTCTGCCTCAGTGTCTGGAGGCTGTGGGGGTCTGGATGGGAAACAACAGGCTTCAACTTAACCCTGGCAAGGCTGAGTGGTTTTGGGTATTAGGGCCCCCTGTTTCTGGGGATTTCCTGCCTTTAATTCTGGGTGGGGCTGCACTTCCCCAAATAGAACCCGTGCACAATTTGGGGGTCCTCCTGGGCTCAGGGCTCCTGTTCAAGGAATAGGGGGCAGCCGTGGCCAGGAGGACCTTTGCACAGCTTCGGGTTGTGCATCAATTACGCCCCTTCCTGGACTGCGAGGCCCTGCTCGTGGTCACTCGTGCCTTGATCACTTCCCGAATGGAGTATTGCAATGTGCTTTACATGGGGCTGCCCTTGAAGAGCACCCGGAAGCTGCAGCTGGTATGGAATGTGGCAGCGCAGGCCGTTACACCGCCGCTCCGTGAGCTGCCTTGGTTGCCAGCCTGCTTCTGGGTTAGTTCAAGGTACTGGTTGTAACCTATGAAGCCCTTCATGGCATGGGCTGGGTTAATGGAGGGACCGCCTCTCCCCAGTCAGGTCTACCCATCCTATTACTGTAGGTCTGGCAGGAGAGGCGCGTTCCAGGTTCCATCCATTAGGGAGCGCCATCTGGCGGGGCCCAAGAACAAACCTTTTCCGTTGGGGTGCCCCACCTTTGGACTATCATCCCCCCAAAGATTAGCCCGGCCCTGACCCTGCTGGCCTTCCCAAGGCTTGAAAGACAGGGTTCTGCCAGCCAGCTTGGGGGTCAGGAGGTGGGGCTGAGCTCAAACAATGGTTGATTTGTCATTGATAGGGTTGTGTTCACCCTGGCTGTGGTTTATATGTGTGTGGTCAGGTCCTGTTTTTTATGCCCGATGCTTTTTAAAAAATATCGTTAGTCATCATGAACTTGAGATGGGCAGCCCTATAAATTGAATGAATATATAAATAAATAAATCCACAACTCAATTTTGTTGTCGTTGGCCTTAAGCAAAGACCTTAGGCTATGAATGCTCCTGTCCTATCCCTTCTGCACTTCAACTCCCTCGGTCCACGAGGCTCATCAACTCCACCAACATCCATACAGAGGAGTCCACTTATTTCTCAGCCCTTAGAGCAGAACGGCGTCTTCCTTATCTAAGGAAGTCTGCCTGCTTTGCTCTCATTGAATTCCTTCTTCTGTGAACAGGCTCATTCCCTTAAGTTTAACATTTCGGCACCTGAATCTCTTGATTAGAAGATTCCCTCACCAAATCTCAGCTTTCAAAACATCTGTTTGTTCTCTGATCCAGGTGAAGCCCAGATTCCATAAGAAAACACTGGATCATGATCTGGCCTAAAATGAAAAATATTCATAATTCATACTGCAGCTGCACATTACTATTTTCTTCTCCCCTTTCTTCTCCCCATCTTCTCCCCATTCTCCCAGCACTTCTGGGATTACTGGGTCCAGGGGTGTCCACTGGGGCATCCAAAAAGTCAATGATGGTCACCACACACATAAAAAAGATGCAGGGCTTTGATCTCATGGTCATGGATGCTATCTTTACATTTTTTACTCCCCTTTTCCAGATGTTCTTGACTGGGTCAATGGAAGACGCCATTCAAAGAGTTTAAATCAGAGCCCCCTCTGCGCTGGATTTCTGAGGGAGGGGCATAAAGCTCTGTGTGATGTCTTCCAGCAGTCAGAAGGACTGGTTTAAATAACTGTAACTTCAGCCAAGGCGTGCAAGAACGAGTAACAGAAGACTACACAGGAGTGACTAAGTTTGCAGGTTAAGTAGCTGAAGCATTTGGGAGAATCTCAAAATTAATCTAAATTGTAACTCTAAACAAATCTGATCTCAACAAATACTCAGAAAGCTAAGCTTGAGTATCCTCTAAATGATTATTTGGGCAAAATATTTCTAAAGCATAAAGATCTGCATTCCCTGAAACATTATTTTATAACAACCAATGGGTTACTTTATTCAAAACCGAGAAATGCAAAATTCCAACTGACCTTTCTAAGTTGAACAATCAGCGCTCTTTTCTTGTTTCTAAGCACTCAACAACTTCTGGAAGCTTTCTATATTCTCCTCATGTTCCACTAAGTCACATTGCTACAAACAGAAGCGTTCCAAATGGGGAAAAGATTTGGCGCTGGCAATAAAACCAGTATGTAACGCCCTAGAGGAACATATTTCCCGTTTTCTCTTATGGAATACCCGAACAACCTACAATTCCAGAGCCCAGGGGATGAAATTTAATATTCCTCCAATACAGGCTAATGGAAGCCTGTTTACCCTAGAAGGGTTGCTGGAAGACTGCTAAAGAGAAATGTTCGGTGCATGTAAGAACAAGAGATCCCAAAGGATACGCCTTTGGAATCTCATGAGTAGATCGGCTGTGCTTCAGCTTGCTGGTGGGGAGGATGGCGCTGGCCCTTTTGCAGCCTCCTTTAAGCACTGGTGCACTGGTGCAAATGAAAAGCAGTGGTCTTCTCTGATGGGACAGTTCAAATCTGTTTCTGGGAGGTGATTTTTCCTTCTCTTTGATCTTTATTAACACGCAGGAATTTGAAATCAAGGATAGGGAAAAATTATACTGTCCCTCCAATTAAGTAAACATTGTCTGCTGTGGTTTCTTTTTGGCCTGGAAGGTTTCGGTTCAGGATGATTGGAAATTTTCAGATTGCCACATCCTAAGGAAGCCATTTTGCTAATCTGAAACACATTTCTATTAGCCTGTAGCTTCTTCTCATTCCTTTGGCAAAGTTACTCATTTCCCAAAGAGTGGGCCCCAAGAAATTAGTAAATCAAATCAAAGCTACCACCAGCCACAAACTGCCAGCTAGAGGAGGGAGCTTGTGCTGTCTCTGCATGAGTTGCTGATGAAGAAAATGGGCACATCAAAGCAACTGTTTGCTTCCAAGGTCAACAGAGCCTGAAATATCTGTTCATAGGGAAAGTAGAGGCAGTGGGCTTACAGGTGAACAAGCAGGTTAACAAACAGGGAAGAAAGCAGGAAGTAAACCAACCAAATTAAAACTATAGGTGAGTCCAGGACCAGGCTCCTTTTGATTTTATGCTATGCCCAAATAACCCAAAAACAGCCTGCTTCGCATGTCATGCAAAGACCATAGCAACGCTCCCTTAACTCACTGAGTCTCCTACAGTGTCTGCATTCATTTCTTATTCACAGCTTTCCCTAACATGAAGAGCTCTTAAATGCAACCTTTTTTTTAATAATAAAACAATCACGGGAATTTAACAAATGAACACAACATTAGCAAATGTATGCTGTCACTGGATATTTCACAGATCAATGGATGTTGGGAGATCTTTGGACTGAAGAAAAATGCTAAGGTATTCTCTTAGTCGCTGACTCCTTTTGGCCGATCGGCATTTGCAGCAATTGTTCAGGTGTCAACACTTAGCCAACTTTGGCTGATCCGTGACAAGCAAAGTAGCCCTGACTTGGTTAACACTGGATGGAGGGCCACCAGGAAGCCAAGCACGATAGTTGGCTTCCAGGATTTTGTTAAACTTCCCAAAGGCAAACCATGTCCTTATTGCTGCCAGTCAAACTATGTGGATGTGGACATATCACACCAGGAGTCAAGCTTGACTTGAGGGAGACTATATTTTTACTCAGGCAAAAATTCTAAGTTTGATCTGGGATCCCTTCCTGCAAGTTGCGCAAGCAGAAACCACCACTGGTCTGCAGATGATGGATCAAGAAGTGAATCCATGCTAAAACATGGTTTTATACTACATTACCCTTTTTTTTTGCAGCCAGTGACATCTCATCCCAAGGTGAATTTACAGCATTCCACATTTGGTTTCTGGATGACCCCGAAGCAAAACATACTGTTTGGCTTCCCACTAAGAAAGGCAGAATGTTTGCTTCCAGAGAGAAAGCCCTTCAGGAGTCTCCATTCCAGAGCTGAACTATGTCCAGGACACCATAAACCATGTTCAGAATGGCCTGATGTGTGCTCCGGAGGAAGAATGGAGTACTCTGACATTTGCTGAATTCACTGGCAGTTGCAAGGAAGGTTCTGCATTCAGTATCCCTTCTTCACACAGCGTACCAGACTCAGCTGCGGTGGGTTGGATCGCTTGGGGCTCAGTTGCTGTAGGAACTCGGCTGTTGCTGCACCATGCTGTGTGAACCAGCCATCACATTAAGCTATGAGGGACATAAGCAGTTATATGAACACAACCGTTCAGTTTTGTTAACTTGGGTTTAGTGCACTGTGTGAATCCAGCCAAGGAAGAAAGGCAACAGGGTAAGCTCTTCGGGGAAAGAGGAGACCTTTCCTCCTGCCTTTTGTTCCTCTTGAAATACAGCTCAGCGTGAACAATGTCATGCAGCTATGAGGGCTATAGACACACTCACAATTCCAGAGCTCCTTTTTTGAGTCTTCTCCCTGTCTGCGCACTTCCATGCATGTTTTTTCATTCTGCCCTCTGAACCCACACACCAAGGCAGCTTTTCAATGGCATCGGCTAAAAACATCCGCAGCTCCGTATGTCTGCAAGTCCCTTTATGAGTTTTTGTGGTACAGTAATATTTCACCCAGCAAGACAGTCTGGCTCCCCTTCATTACATGGATTTCTTTGGGAAGGGTGATTTCTCAGCTGGAAACCAGCCTTCGATGCATCTTGAAAGCCAGGTGATCCTGGAGACATTTCCAGGCAGAAAAAGAACACCTATGGATAAAAACTCCGGGTTTCAAAAGAATCTGTGCTATAGCAGAGATAGGCAAATCAATCTATTTTCAATCTATGTCACTTTCATATATTCAGTGAAAAGAAATAGCATTCTTGCATCAGTCTGGGAACCAAAAAAATACACAAAAATCAATATTAATAGTTGTCGGCACTTTCCCCTAAAACACACATTTTTGTACACCATTTTCTATAAACAAGGCATTTTAAAATAGCACTGTAAGCTTTTTCTGAGCCAAAGTCTGCACCACAAACCTTTGAAAAGGTTGCAATCTGAAGATTAACAGTGTTCCAATATATGCATTAATCTAGGATGTATAAATTAGGTCAGTTTGCTTTAAAGCGGGAACTGAAAAAAGTTCTTTTCTGTTTCAGAGGAAATGAAAAAGCAGCATTCTTTAGGAAGAAAAAATTTTCTTCAGTGAGGCCAATGGATCTCAAATAGCTATTCACCTGGCTGGGCTTCCAATGATTTCTCTCACTATCCTTGTTCAATGAAATTATC